TGAAAAGACATGGAAGACCATTAAATGCATATTGCTAAGTGAAAGAAGCCAGTCTAAGATGGCTACAGTATGTCTCCAAGTCTATGACATTCTAGAAAAGGTAAAACTAAAAGGACAGGAAGATCAAAAATTGCCAGGGGTTCAGGGAGGGAGGATTCATTAGGAAGAGAATGCATGATTAGAAGAGCAGTGAAACTACTCTGAATGATACTATAATAGTGGATATGTGACATTAGACATTTATCCAAAGTCACAGAAGGCCTGACACCAAGAGTGAGCCCTAATGAACATGAAAGACTTTGGATAACAATGATGGGTCAACATGGGTTCACTGATTATAACAACTGGACCACTGTGAGAAAGGATGCTGATGGTATGGGAGGCAGTGTATGTATTAAAATGGGGAGTCTCTGCATGACAGGGGGTATCAAAATCCCCAACACTTAACTATACTACAAAGCCACTGTGATAAAAACAGCATGGTATTGGCAAAGAAACAGACCTGAGGATCAATGGAATAGGTTAGAAGATACAGAAACAACTCCAGACATACCCAGCCACCTCATCTTCAACAAAGGAGCCAACCATCCTCACTGGAGGAAAGATAGCCAACCTCTTTAATAAATGGTGTTGAAAAAACTGGAGTTCAACCTGTCAAAGGTTAAAACTAGACCCCTATCTTTCACCATGTACTAAACCAAAATTGAAGTCGATCAAAGATCTAAATATTAAAACAGAAACAATAAACTTACTGGAAGATAAGTTCGGTAGAACTCTTGAAGACATTGGCATAAGAAAAGACTTTATGAACAAAATCTCAGTAGCACGGGAACTAGCACAAAGAATCAATTGGGATCTCATCTTATTAAAAAGCTTCTGCACAGCAAGAGAAACCACCAACACAGTGGAGCCGGGGTGCTGGGGCGCTCTCAGCATGGTGGTGTTTTCTGGTCCTGCCGCACCAATTCTGTCTCTGAACCCCCAGGAAGATGCCGAGTTTCAGAAGGAAGTGGAGCAGATTTGGCGTCGCGTGACCCAGCAAAAAAAGAAAGAAGAACTTATGCCTGGAGTAATTTTTGTGGGTCTCTTATCTCCAGTTCTTTTTGAATCCCAGATCAAAGAATATTTCTCCCAATTTGGCAATATTACAAGATTCAGACTGTCCAGAAGTAAAAGGACTGGAAATAGCAGAGGCTATGCCTTTGTGGAGTTTGCATCTGAGGATGTTACCAAGATAGTGGCTGAAACAATGCACAACTACCTCTTTGATGAAAGACTCCTGGTCTGTCGTTTTATGCCACCCAAAAAGGTACATAAAGATCTTTTTAAAGGCTGGCAAGTTCCATTTCATCATCCAGTATACCCAGCAGTGAAACGGTATAATCATAAGCGGACACTTCTACAAAAGTTGTGGATGGAAGATTGATTTAAAAAGAAAGAAAAATTACTAAGGAAGAAATTAATTGCAAAAGGAATTGATTATAATTTTCCTTCAATGGTTTTATCTATCAAGAAGAAAGAGGTTTCAGACAAAAAAGAGATTTCTGCAAAAAAGAATAAGCTTCAGGCATACCTAAGGAGAAGAAGAAAAGGGTTTCAGAAGGCTCTCTTGTCACTCCCGATAAGACTGTGGATAGCCAGAGGGCCACACCAGCTTGTACACCAGCATTTTTGGAGAAACGAAAATCTGAAGTGGCTAAAATGAATGATGATAAAGATGATGAAATAGTCTTCAAACAGCCGGTATCCAGTGTAAAGGAAACACCAGCGACTCCAACACCCACTCATTCAGGGAAGAAAAGACAAAGGCGAAGAAAAAGCAAACAGTGATTCTGAATGTATTGTGTGCAGCATATCTTACCAGAAATTGTGATTTGTTATAAGGGCTGACTCCTGTATTACACTAGATACAACCAAATCAACTATTAAGACTTTCAGAGGAAAACATACTGATTGTTCCAGGTCTGTAAGGAGAGCAGTGAGTAATTTTGGCTTATCTGCCCTTGATGAGATCTGGGAAACATTGCAGCCTGCAGTGCAGGCTCACAGTGCCTTTGTCCTGGTCTCCTACTTTTGTGTTTAGCTCCCCTTGGTTTACCTTGCCTATATGTCACTGTTGACCAAAGGTTGAAGTACTGAAGGGTTGTGGCCTTTTGTCACCAGCAAATAAAGTTCATCAGTCTTGCTTGAAAAAAAATAAACCACCAACACAGCTAAGAGACAACCTACAATGTGGAAAAAAAAAATTATCAGCTGTTCCTCAGACAAAGGACTACTATCTAGAATATATAAAGAACTTTAAAAAATCAGACCCCCCAAATATAAAGACTCAATTCAAAAATGGGCATCTGAAATGAACAGACATTTCTCAAAGAATTAAAAGCAGCAAATAAACATATGAAAAAATGTTCCACATCACTGGCCATTCCAGAGATGCAGATGAAAACAACACTGAGATTGTACCTCACCCCAGAAAGAATGGCTGCTATCAAGAAATCAATCAATAACAAATGCTGACAGGGTTTTAGGGAGAAAAAAACCCTTCTCCGTTGTTGGTGGGAGTGTGGACTGGTGCAACCGCTGTGGAAATCAGTATGGAGATACCTCAAAGAACTAGGATCAGAGGCCCCATTTGACCTAGCTATTCCTCTGCTGGGTATCTTCCCAAAAGAATGAAAAGAATCATACCACCCCAATATATGTGCACCCATGTTCATAGCAGCACAGTTTGTAATAGCTAAGGCTTGGAAACAGCCCAGTTGCCCATCAACTGGAGACTGTATAATGAAAATGTGGTTTTTTAATAAAATGGAGTACTACTCAGCCATAAAGAACGAGAAACTGGAGACATTTATGGCTAAATGGATGCACATCGAGGCCATACTTTTAAGTGAAATAAATAGGACACACATATGTAAATATCAAATAGATTCTCTGGTGTGAGAAACTAAAAGTGTAAACAAAAATCAAAATGTGTAATTGATATTGTGAAATAGGAACAAAAGGTCTAAAGGGGTAGGGGAAGTACGAGGAGTAGGGGAAAGGAAAGATGGGAAAAATATGAGAAAAGAAAAAATGGAAACAAAGTCTCTGTAAAGAGGGAAGGGTGGAGGGGGTGGAGGGAGAGCAGGGGAAGGGGGAAAAAATAAGAACCAAGATACACCATATAGGGGCCGGGGATTTAGCTCAGTGGTTCCTCTGCCTGGCTCACAAGCGCAAGGTCCCAAGTTCGATCCCCGGTACCAAAAAAAAAGATACACCATGTAAAGGTCCAAGTTCTCAGTGATGAAAGTAACTGTATTGTATACCTAAAATGTAACAATAGACTTAATGTGGGGGGGAATGGGGAGTCTCTGAACCTTCCAATCAATTTTTATATGAACCTAAAACTATTCCAAAAATAATAAAGTGTATTACCCTCTTGAAATACTTTTACCTATAATAGAACTAAAAAATAAATTATTTACCAACCCAAAGCCCTCTTATATGATGTAACCCACTGAAACAAGAGTAATGCAGAGGAGGAGTAGCTGGCCCTGGAGAACCCACTCAGAACAGGGCAGGCCTCCTCCTTAAGCATTTCTCCAGGGACCTCCCTTACTCTCCAGGGTCTGGAGCTGAGCTCAAGTCCCTCTGGCCATTGTTATTTGGAAAGCAGAGTCAGAAAGACCATGGGGCTCTTGTTTTGCTCATAAGTTCTTTGTCTACATCCTCTAAAGGAAGGATAAAGTCAAGAGAACACCACAGAACCCTAGTCATAGCTGTGGTTTTTTGCTCCTGTGTTGGAAAAATGCCATACAAGAGTCCTTTACCGAGGACAGCTGTTGTTGCCCTAGAGAGTCCAGGAGAAGATAAATCTCATTGAAATCCATCTTCTTAAAAACTACCTACTCCTGGAACCTGTGAGTGTGCCCCATAAATAGAAATTATATCTTCATTTATAACCTCCCTGAGTTACCTATCATGGGGAGGGAAAGTGGCTACTTTACCTTCCTCTGATCTAGAATAAACCCTATAGCTGTACATTTTACCAGGTGTTTATTTCTCCTCCTTTTTTTTGCAAGGGGTGGGTGTCTCTGTAATGCACAAAAGTTGGTCCAAGTCTGATTTGGCTTTATCAAAACCCACTGGTACTAACTCAGGAAATAGCCCAAACTTTGTAGACTTGTGTTAAGTCCTGTGGGGTCAGGATGAAAATAGAAGGACATCACAGATTCACAGAGACCTGAAATGGAAAGGTCGTAGACTGCCTGTTGTGCACAGCCCTCACCTCTATTTTAAGGGCTTTCTGCTCTCTGGCTTCCATGAAAACGGAACAGTCAGGTGCTATGGCCACCTGTGTTAGCACAAAAGAGAAGAGGTTTATATTTAGTACCAGAGACACTGCAGGAAGATCATTTTCCCACCTTTAGAACTGTTAAGATAGAATGGACTTTGGAAAACATCAAACTTTCCCAATTGTATAAAATAAAAAACTCAAATGACTTATTCACACCTTTGTATGGAGAAAGGATTTACTCCATCATCAGGTGTCATAAGACCTCTACCCATCATTTAAACTTTCATCATTGTCTGTCAGGCAGAAGGTCAATCAAATGTTTGTTGTTGATTCACTATGCCAGTCAATGTGCCTGTGGGTTGAGCTCAGTTTCCTCCGGAAGCAGAGAACAGAACTTCTTTGGATCCTGGGGTCTCTCCTCAGCTCCTTCCTTTCCTCCTCCAGTTAGAGTAATCCTTGTTCTCATCTCTTTCCCTTCTAGGCCTAATTCTCTACCCTCTCCCTCTGCACCTCCTCCTCTTTTGCCAACAGGTAACTGCCCTGAACTAGGAGGTGATGACAAGGGCTGACATGCCATGGTGGCCTCTGCTGCACAATCTGTCCTGGGTCAGTCCTGAAGCTTTACTCACAATGCCTCATCTCCAGACATACTCTGATACTGGTATCCCATTTGAGCATTCTTGCCAGTTCTTGTGTCTCTGAAGGGATTCTTGAATGCTCCATGGAAGTTGGCAATGAGACTACTGTTACTGCGTTTGTTCTCCTAGGACTATCCAGCAACTCTCAGATAGAAGGACTACTCTTTGTGCTATTCCTCATAATTTACCTTTTGACCCTCATAGGGAACCTGCTGATATTGCTAATTATCTGTATTGATTCCCAGCTCCATACTCCCATGTACTTCTTCCTGAGACATCTTTCCTTCCTGGATGCTTTCTATTCCTCAGTCATTGTGCCTAAACTGCTAGAAAACCTTCTTTCTAAGGAGAAGACAATATCCTTCCATGGATGCTTTGCCCAGATTTCCCTGATCATATTTTCAGGGGCCACTGAAGCCTGCCTCCTTTCTGTCATGGCCTATGACCGGTTCCAGGCTGTGTGTCACCCGCTGTTGTACGTGGTGACTATGAACAGGAGGGTCTGTGCTGGCCTGGTGGGTGCATCCTGGGCCATCGGAATGAGTGCCAGCCTAGTTAACACTCTCTTACTAGCTCAGCAGCACCTGTGTGGTCCCAACCTCATCCGCAATTTTGCCTGTGAGCTACCTCCAGTGATCTCGTTGGCCTGTTCTGACCCCTACAGTAGTATCATCTCCATCCTGACTACCATGGTGGTCCTTGGCCTTGGCACTCTTGTCCTATTACTGGGTTCCTACAGCCGTGTCATCATGACAGCCCTGGGGATCAACTCTGCCACGGGTCGGGGCAAGATCTTCTCCACCTGCTCTTCTCATGTCCTTGTGGTCATCATCTTTTATGGTTCAGGAATTTCCAGGTATGTCATACTATACTTCCTAAATGTACATGTGGCTTATTTCTCACTCTAAGTGCCTTTAGTCTGTAGAACAGAGCACAGAGCACTGCAAGGTAGCAGGAAAAGAACCATACTAGAATTCAGGAAGCCTGAGCTCTAGCTTTGCCTCTCCTGTGGACTGGCTTTGTGGTGTATAAAGAAACCCTTTTCTTTTTGTAACTCAGTTGACTCTTTTGAAAAATGACTTTAGAAAAAGATTAAAGATTTTTCTTTTTTTTTTTTTGGTACCGGGGATGGAACTTCGGTCCTTGTGCCTGCAAGGCAGGCAGCAGAACGATTGAGCTAAATCCCCGGCCCCAGATTAAAGATTTTTCTACCTTATTAACCTCTGTTTTGGAAGTTCTCAAAGGGAAGTTAGAAAATCTTTGGTATGATTTTATTTAGTGCTAGGCAAAAATATAAAACAACATCCTTGGGGCTGGGGATTTAGCTCAGTGGTTCCAGCGCCTGCTTCACGAGTGCAAGTTTCTGAGTTCAATCCCCAATACCAAAAAAAAAAGCCAAAACATAAAACAACATCCTTGAAATAGATACCATCTGTCTTTCCTACTGGAAGATGATGTCCCCAAGGGTTATGTTATAACTATTTGTGAGGCATCTATTATACACCAACTTCTTAACATGTCAAACTCAATTTTAGTATGCATCTCACCATAAGAGTTAATATTATTAATTCAGATGTGGTGGTGCATGCCATGAACACAGCACTTGGAAGGCAAGAGAATTGTCATGAGTTTGAGGCCTGCCTGGGCTACATTGTGAGCTCAAGGCCAGCCTAAGCTACATAGCAAGACCAAAAAAACAAACAAACAAAGAGTAGTTAATATTCTTAACCTTGTTATTCTGTTTTCAGGTACAGAACTTCAGTTTTGGAAGTAATTAGGAAATTTCTCAAAGGTCCCAGAACAAGGTAGTTGCAGGGCCAGCCGAATGAAGTCTCATGCTCTTTCCCACCATGCTTCTCTCAAACATAAACGACTTTAGCTAAGCAGCCCTCCCTCTCCAGAAGAAAGAATAAATTATGTGTGTGCTCTCTATTAGGGAACTGGAAATGAACTTGGAGAAATTGCTCAATACTTTTCTCATCTTCTGTGACTTGAAGGGAAATAAGAAGGTAGAAGTGGAAAATAAGGAATAATTCAGGAGAGTTTATGTGAGCCAGAAGATTAATCTCTCTCTAACTTTTCATATCCCTTAAAGAGACAATAAGGCTTTTTCTACTACTTTACAGAAATATTAGAAGGGATAAATTAGATAATATTTAAAACTCAGGAAAAAATGAATATCTTTTAATCAAACACATTAGAATCCATAAGGAACATTCTTAGTACCATCTATATTTATTCCAATGATGATAGTACTACTGAAAAAAATAATAATAATGCTTCTTTGAGAAATAGCCCCAGTGCTATTTAACAGGATGGGTCCCAAAACTTAATCTTAACTTGGATCTTATCTTCTGCATGACACTTGTATTTCCTACTTTATTTACCAGCCATGGCTTCTTTTCCAAACAAACAAAATGCAACTAAAAGAACAAATACTTGGCCTGGGGATTTAGCTCAGTGATTCCTTCACCTGCCTCGAAAGCACAAGGTCCTGAGTTCAATCCCCAGTACAAAAAAAAAGAACAAATATTTGTTCCACTAAGTATTTCAAGTTGTTGTTGTTGTTTTCTTTTCTTTTTCTTTTTCTTTTTTGAGACAGGGTCTTACTATGTAGTTCAGGCTGGCCTTGAATTCACTATATAGCCCAGTTTGGCCTTGAACTCACAGTGATCCTTCTGCTTTCCACACCCAGCATTCCACTAAATATTATAAAAATTGTATGTTACAATTCTGAGGGTAGTTCCCAGAGCCATAAATGTTGGGGAAAATGGCAGCATTGTGAACTAAACATATGGCTGTGCAAGGAACAATCATCACAAGATCAGAACATAGTATATCTTTACAAATGAGTACATAGAGGGCAAAAGAGGAAGTTTCATATTGCCATTATAACTATTGGGCAAGAAGCTGTGAAAAGTATGGAGTGCCATAGAAATGCATGAAATTATTTTATTATTTCTGTTCTAACCTGTAGCCCTTTATAAGCTGCAGAACTTCTCTTTCCTTATGGCAGTTCCTATAGCTTTCTGCACAAGATCACTTGTGTTTGGGGGCATTTGAGAGCAGAAATGACTGATTTCTCACTGATCAGTCATTTCCATATGCTACCACCAGTGATGGTCAGCTCAGCTCCGAGGATTGCCTTTGCAGTCAGCAGGGATGGAATGATCCATTGCTGCCAACTGTACTGTGATGATTATCCTGAGCTCGGTGTGCTCTATCTACTGTGCAACTCCCTACAAGGTACATGACTCCAGCTCCTGGCTCAGCGTTGGAGCAAGTGTTATCCATGCAGTACAGTGTGGTGACCCCCCTGCTCAACCCCTTCATCTACAGCCTGAAAAACAAGGAGGTGAAGGCAGCTCTGAGGAGAGTGCTGGCCAGAAAGTCCAGGCTGATCTTCTAACCCAGACTCCCCTGCTTCACCAGGAGGAAACGTTACAGGGGGAAAACAGGAGCAGGGAAGAGCCAGGATGAGCCATCACCACTCAGCTGTCTCAGTGTTCATCACTTCTGAAACAGAAGATTTGTCTTCTCTTTATCCGGGGACCTGTCCTCAGACAAGAGAAACGAGGAAACCTCCACAATAGAGTGGGTGACATTCACTGCACAAGAAAATCTTCAGGGCTTCACTGGCCATTTCTACAGCTATTGATTTTATATATTTTTTCTTCTCCTTTATGCCATTCCCTTTTCTCCATCTCCATGTCCCTTTTGCTGTTGTCTATGCACAAAATGTGAATGAACTCATCAGACCACTAATATCCCACTGCATTCTGGTGAAGTTCCATCTTGATACTGTGAAAGCTAATTCCCTTTTGTCCCCGTTCCAAAGGATCCCTGGCAAAATCTACATCTCCTTAATAACTTAAAAAGAAATAGAATAAGGTTGTCTCCTCTTGTCTTCATTCTTTAAAAGTAGCCCCTTAACTTTTAATTCTTTAAAAGTAGCCCACTTATTCTAGCAAGTACTCACTGTTTGTGGACAACTTAAGGAATGAATGAAGGAATAAGTCATTAATCCATCTGAGGAGATCTTTCTGTTGCATGATCCTAGGAACAGGAGGAGGTGAATATCCCCCCCTAAAAAGTGCCCTGCAAGCAGAACCTCTGGCTGATATCTTCTGTGTCCCAGCATCTAGTACATCCTGCTAACACGTTTGTTAGGTAAATGAAAAAGAAAATGAATGACTGAAAGGGAAGGGGAAGTGAGAATACATATGAAAAGGAACATTTAATAATATGCAGTTAAACTCCTGCTTTCACAACAAGGTGTCAGAGAAAAGTAGCAGGGAGAAGAAATCAAGAAAGGAGAAAGAGACTGCATATTTGTAGAGCACCATTCTGAATCTTCCTCACACAAATCTTGGTCAATGGACTGCACTCTGACAGTCTTTTCCTTGAAGTGTCCCACATTAAGGTAGAGCACTTTTGATCCATGCCTGGCTCAGGACCTCATTCCAGACCTAGAGAAAAGAGGAGTTGGAGAATATAAAACAAATGCCCAGCTCCCATCCTACTGGATATTCCATTTCCAGTAAATTCTCAGGGAGAAAGCATCAGTTACCTGTCCTGTTTCTATACAAAGGCCAAGAGGTCTGCAATAGTCAAAACTACTTCCATTAGGACTGAGGATGCAGCCTCAATGGGAGAGTGTGCATTTAGCATGCATAAAGCCCTGGGTTCGATCCTCAGTGCCTAAAAAAAAAAAAAGAATGGTAACTTCATTGTGGTGATCATGATCAGTTTACATCTTAAATGTATATAATTTTTACTTGGAAGAAGGTAGAGGAGAAGGAGGAAAAAAGGAACTACTACCACTGACTGTCATAAAAATAATCTAGCTACACTTGACTGGATAAAGAGGGGGCATCTTATTTATTAAGAGAATTCATAATTCAGAGTTCTTTGGAACAAAAGAAATTTATAAGCTAGGAAATAATAAGTATAGACTAGGAATAGTAGTTTGCCTGGAAATTACTAATGAAGACTCCAAATGACTTCAAATGCTTGTACCAAAGAACACAGCAAGTTGTTTTGTTATTTACTTTACTTTCTACATTATTTTACAATTGAAATGAGTAAAAAATACATGAAAACTGCTTCATAGTACTGGTGCACAGTAGGAATCCACAAATATTTGTATATAGATACCCAATGTAAAATAATTGAATGAACTTTTTTAAATTTTAAAGACTGCTATCTTTATGACAGCTGCCTGGCTTCTGTCTGTTCTTGATCCTCCAATCAGGCTAAAATCTTCTCTAGCCCCTTGTTGGAGCCGATCCCTCATATTTTCTAGAGCATGTGGCTGTGGCAGGTTAATAGGTAAGAAGTAAATATGCAATGTCAGTGGGCTTGTTGTCTATCCAACTCTGCCTCTTCACATACACAATACATAATACACAGGGAATATATAAATCCTGACGACTCAGGGGAAGCTTACTGTCCCATAATTAGAAAGGGAAAACATGAAATGCTATTTCTTTTATTTATAAAGGTATTTCACATTGTGTTTAAATTCACACTAAAATTATATGACTAAGTTATTTCCTGAGAGTTTGCTTTCAGTAAGTATAGAGGGAATGGCGTCCTCACTCTATGTCTACATCTACAAGTTTTCTAAACATGGGGACTTCATTTGGGAGTCGATGGTTTGTTATGAAGACAAGTGAAGCACGACCTAACTGGTGAAAGCCCCAAAAGGTATTGGGGTAGGAAGAGAATAAGCAGCAATATTAGACATCTTAGGAGGACAAAGAAGGTAGGAAGAAAATGTGAATTTTATTCCTCAATAATTAATAAATGTGGTAAATTAAACTGTAGTTTTCTAATACTTGATTGTCAAAGCAAGAAATCTCAAAAAACCTTCCATACAAAACATTCATTTTAAGATAAGTAAATTGAATCTCAGAGGACAGAGATGATCTGCCCATGAACCATCAATGAGTGGCACAAACTTTAGGACCCAAATCTCCCAATTCTTCTTCCATACTTCCCATAGCTATTAGAATAAAGTTCTGCAAACATCCTCCATAAAAACAAGCAGTACAAGAAATGGTGGAGCAGAGGGTCCAAACGAAAAGGCCCAGGTACATAAATTCTTAGGAATCAGTGAATTACTATAAAGGTCCCAATTATATATCTGTGACATCCAGAGAGAGAATCCACAGATCTTCTTGACAGATAATGAAGTGTCTCAATCCTCTGAATCCATCCATTTTAGATCCTTGGATCCCCTGCACATTCTATGCTCCCCCCTCCACATCTCCTTCTGTCAAAAATCCCATCTATACTTTAAAACCAGCCTAAATTCCAGCCTTTCCATTGATCCTTTCTTGATTTTTTCCATGTCCCCCAAAATATAAATTATCTTTCTTTTTATAAGTGCCCAGGGCACATTTCTAATTCCTCTCCTGATCCTTATACTATTCCATGTATTATGACTATTTATTAATATTTGTCTTGCTTCTATTAGTCCTTGAAAGATAAGGCCCTTTTAGCAACTTTGAGACCCTCTGTGGTTTCTTTTACTTACTGGGTAACCAATAAAAGTTGGTTGAATTGCTACAGAAAGTAACCTGCATCTTTCTCCAGTAAGTTCAGCCTACTTCTTCAATGGAGAAGGAATATGGCTATGAGCTACGGCTTCAGTGTCCCCCCATCCACCCTATTTCCTCCCTTTCCTTGTAGAGAAAAAAATACAGCCAAACACTTCAAATCAGGCTCTTTATTCATGACAGAGGTGGAATTTGTTGGTGCAGTTAAAGTGCCATTGGGAGCACTGAGCAAGTGTCTAAAGTCCAGTACACCAGACATGCATTGTTAGACAACAGTCATCAAGAGTCAAACAGTGTCACTACAGGATCCAGGGCTCAGAGACAAATCATCTTCAGGGGTAAAAAGAGACAAATTGAGGTAGCAAGAGGGAAATGGGGTTCTGGATGTGTGGAAAGGGCAGCAGTGACAAAAGACAGCAGACACTCACAACACCTTGCAGTACCACTGTTCCAGCTTGTCAGAGCAGAGTGGTTTGTGGGCCAACCTGATAATGGAAAAAGGGACAAGGTGAGTGGGCTGACTAGGTCTTAGGTTGAGTTTTAAATGAATTTAGCTTCAACCTCAGGAGGGCTAAGGTGGATGAAAATCACAGAGACATTTTCCTAGACAGATGGTAAGGGATACTAGGTCATCTAAAAGAGTAGAGTCCATTTTTTTTAATCCAAGAAAATTGTAGGGTAGTTGAAAACCAAGATATGCAATGATACCAAGAGCTTGCTTTAGGGTATAAGTTTAAATAATTGGTGTTAGAAATCAAAGGTCAGGTGAGAAGAAGCCTGGGTACCAGCCCTCCACTAGGAAACTTGTATTAGAAAAGTTGTCCATATAAGAGCAGAGCAATGGAGTGCTCACTTCAACAGCACATATACTAAAAGCAGAGCAAGGGAGGCTTAAAAATGAAAACTGAGTCTGCTAGATGACTTTTGTTTTGGACACTATTCCAGATTAAATGACCAAGGGATAGAGGGGAGAGTGGTGATGGACCAAGGGGGTAAAGGGAAGGAGAAGGTGGAGGATAACAGAAAATAAAATGAGGATTCACCAGTGGTCAATTCCTTTGATATCCAGGATCTTCTTGGCACACATTATGTCATCAGTAAGGTCATCATCCAAGAACTCTGGCAGGAGTTGTAAGGAAAGCAATGAGAGAGCTAAGAGGTATTACCCAGAGAGCTAATGAGTACCCCTATTCCCTGGGTCTAGTTCTTCTCTGAAAGGAAGGATTATACCTAGTATATTTCTATATGAAAAGGTCAATATGCCCCCTTCTGAGTAAGGACTTTCTTCAATACTCTGCACATCTCTGGAGAAATCAAGTCTATCCATTGAGACCCAGAAAATGCAGAGTATCTGACTTCAAGACTCCCAGAGAATTCCAGAATGTCTACCTCTGAATGTCAGGGGACTGTCTGGGTATTTGGTGATCATGAAATAACCAAATATCTTCTTACTTAGCTATGTTACTCTAAGACACACAATTTTTATAGATTCTAACCAAGGCACTGAAGCTAGAGGTATATTTGACCCCATAAAAGAGATTTCCCTCAGTGAAGGGCTCCAGAAAAAACTGAGAAACAGGTAAAAGAGTCTACTTACTGTCACAGGAAATGTCACAGATGTTCCTTGACTGAAGGTTCTGGCTGCTGTCACAGAAATCTTTATCATTTATCTGGAAAAGTCCATACTCCGTATTGCCATTGTTTCTTATTATGGTTTGTGTGTCATAACCACTGATATGAAATATGATACAGATCCCTGAGGGAAATATGAGGAAGAGTATCATGGAGATGCCTAGGATCAGCATAAATTAGGAACTGTAGTTCATATATATAAAAGGTTTCTAGCCAATCTCCAAAGGAGGTGGCAAAGGATATAAAATCTTGATGAGTTGAGAAGGACATTTCAAAAAAGGATCAGACACTGGCAGAAAGGAAAGACAGGGGAACAAATTGAATAAAAGAGCAGACAATAAGCTAAACTATAAAAAAACTATTAGATAACTAAGTGAAAGTGGAGGAGAGAAAATGAGAAAAGGATGGAGGGAAGACAGGTGAGGAGGGGGATGAAATGAGGGAACAGAGAACTCACATTCAGGCAAAGTGATGTTTCGATAGCCAGCAAGGTCATTCAGCTCCTGAGACAGTGAACATTTTGTGAATTGCTTGGCCTGCAGGGCAGAAAACAAGATGCTCACCAGTAACAGAGGGAAAGGGGACATCATTTTGGCGGCCCCTAAGAACCTGAAATGGAGACAGCACTCAGCTTCACCTCCTTTTATCCATGGAGAACACTTCAGGAACACTGGCACCAAACCCTACCTCCAGGAAGATGATGAAGAAAGACTAGTCATGCCAAGAAAGAAATCATGAACCTGCCAGCTTCCTTCCATAATTTCACCCTACTTCTCATTCCCCTTCCTCAATATCTAGTCAATACCAAGAATTGTTCTCTGCCTATAGAAAGTTTCAAGCATAATTCTGTTTCCCCCTTAGCTTTGCTTATACCTTTGTTTCTTGTGAGGCTAGTTCTAGGAAGCAGAATGTACCCAGCCTACTTTAGGAACAAAGGGATCTTCAGGGCCAATACAAATGAAGCAATCATAAAACACAATAAGGGTCCCTAGTCAATTCCTTCTCTCCAAAGACCTACAGAATGTGTAAAGAGGGTATATGTCATCATATTCAGAGGCCCTTGTCTAGCCAACCCTGTATGGAACAAAGTCCAGGGAGAATCTCTTGGTATGGTGGTTCCAGGCTAAGAGCTCAAAAATAGGTTAGAATGTGGGGACATGGACTGTGACAATCAAATATAACTTGAATCCCAGACTTCCAACTTAAGAAGATGGCTAATTTGAAAAGCATATATGAACATATCTAGCTATCCTATAAGCTACTTCCCACCCCCAGTGACCTCTGCCATAACTGGATAGGATACTGGCATTAACTGAGACATTTTAGATATTCAAGATGGATAACTTGTAATAGATTTGTTCATGACGTGGGTAGAGTAGCCTCAGAGTTGACCACTGAAAGTTATAAGGAGGGTGCCACAAGCCAGTGAGAAGGCTGAACTTTAAGCATTTTAAGATTGCACAAGGATATATCTGAAGCCAGTAAAACACATTCACAACACATCATCGCTCAGTCAGCACTCCTGAGCAAGTAGACTTGAGGCTACTAACTAAATAATTCCTTTAATTTGCTGATATCAAGTTTCATGTCCTGGTGCCAACAGCTGTTATCCTCCTCCATGTCAAGGATCATCCTTTTTCTTCCAATTTCTAAATCTAATTTCTTACATTTCAGGAAACATCTGTCTCAGCCAAACTGCTATTTAAGACTTACAACTGAAAGTCTTCCAAGCTGTTGTTACCTACAAGTCTTCAAAGATGTTCATCTCAATTTAATCCCATCTTCTATACTATGGACAACCAGTATATGAAGTGGCATGAGTAATACTAGTGTGGAGCATGTGCAAGATCAAGAGAGATAAGCAGAAAACCCTGATAGGAAAGAGATTCATGTTCCAAAACAGCAAAAGTGCTGCCACTGAATTTCTCCTTCATTCTACCCAGAAGCATTGGAAGGGTGCATGACAGGAATAGCAATTCTATCACATGAGCAAGTTTTGTAAGCAATATGTCTAGAGATGATGATCTTGGGCCAGGGATGATCTTGGGAAAGAGACATTTAAAAAGTTTGTTCTAAGGACTAGTTTTCCAGGTAGTGGTGTTTTGGGTAAAATGCCTGGGGGCTGTGGACTAAGTACCTATGCTAAGTGGGAGGCCAGGGTCAATACCTAAGACAGCAGCCAGCTTACCTACAATTTGATTATATCTCTGCCCTTTCCTGTAAGCAATAAAAAGCAGCATACAGGCCAGGAACCACAGCTAAACCCAGAAAAGAAAACAAGTGTGCCTCACGGAAGAGGAACCATTATTTCCCTAGAAATGTTTTTCAGTAGGGCATCTGGGTCATCTATAAAAGGACAGAAGATGTCTAATGGAAACAATTGCAAACATTCAGAGACAGACATAGATTCTCAGAGACAATCCAAAGAACAACAAACAATGACCACATCACCGAAAGAGGAAGTATGTGGAAAGACATAGGCACCACTAATGCTCAAATCTCCCTTTCTGGAGAAGTTTAGTAGGATGTTTCACTTGGATGCTGAGATCTGAATCAAAATGGTAAAGAGGCATTTACAACTCTTTCCTGAATTTTTTCAGAAATACACTAGAAAGATATGTTCATTCTCTCAGAGGTTCCAGTAAAAGTCAGGGTTTCTAAAATCAGAAATAATCTTTTCAGAAGATTTCTAGAAAACACAGAATCAGAAGCATCTGCTCCAAAATAACTTTGCCATTCAAACTGTAGATGAGTGGTAGGGGTTTTTTTAAAGGAAAACATATAATTATGTCCCCAAAAGACAATAAAGAATTTATAACAAAACCATATGTGGAAAATATATTAAATTACATCCTGAATACAACAGATCAAACAAAAGAATGACATTTTTTTTAAAAACATGCAATGTGTCACAGAGAAACTGTGTGATAGCTTTTTATTATCAGCCATAGTAATAGTTTAAAGATTAGAATCAAGTTGTGATTTGAGCACTTATATCTTAAAATAGCATACACACATCTTACTGTGTCTGGTGTTTCAGTAGTCTGGACAGAGGTGTTGGGTGAGGTATTGAACATGATGGTCTTCTGTTACTTAAAGTGTTAATTTCAGGAAATTCACTCTCATTGAAGGTTTTCATAGCAATCTATAACTTCATGAGACAAATATCTGGATGTAGATGCATTTCATAGATCATTTACTGCTTTTTTATGAGGCATCCAGTTTCCTCTTTCCCCTTCCCCTTCCTAACAATGCTGCTGAGGCTTGAGCATCGCCGAGGAGTGGCTGCACCAAGTGTGGTTTGGGAAGAAGCAGATCAGACTCCTGGAAGTGGCCACGTATGGCAGGAGCACTGTCGTCCGTTTTCCCCAGAAAGCAATATACACTCCAGTCATTTGTGGTTCAATGTAAGTTACTTGTATATAAACTGTGGTCAGAAAGAAGACATTATCCCTGGAAATAAACCTGCTTATACAATCCATGGTCTCATTTTTTTAAGATGTAGTGAAGAGAAAATCATTCTTGCTATAGTAACACAAGAGGGCACAGTTCAAGGATGGTAAGATCTGCTTGTGTCCATACAGCTATTAATTATCCTTGTTTCTTCTGGTTTTAGAAATTTAATCACCTTAAGAAAGTCAAAAATTTTATTTCTAAAGTGCCGTTCAATGATTTCACAATCCTTTAGGAAAAGCATCACTAATCCTCTAAAGAATGAAGAAAATTGAGTTTAACTACATTTTGCTTAGATATTCATTGGATATTTCATGTCATAGTAGAAAAAGTAATTTTTACACAAGAAGTCAACAGACTTATAGTTCAAACTCTTTAAACATGTGTAAAGATTGCACTATAACACAATCTTTGTGGGAGGGTCGAGAGAGAACAGTGGCTCTGTGTCCTTGGTGAATTATGTGAGCTAGTCTTTTTAATTTACCGTTCCTATTGGCATCTAGTATCTACAATTTTAATTCGGGGCTCAAGTATGTGGTCTTGCCGTTCAAAGAGTCAGCATCTCTGACAGTTAATAGCAATGCTTCTATTTTAACATATTATATATTACAATGAAAAACCAAAAGCATAAATGTTATGTGAAATGCACGATCCTAGAGAGAAAAGTCTAAAAAGCCTATGCATCCTATAGAATTACTTTCTAATATCTTTATGTTTTGTTTTGGTTTTTTTGGTACCAGGGATCGAACTTGGGTCCTTGTGCTTGCACAGCAGGCGGCGAAACCACTGAGCTAAATCCCCAGCCCAATATTTTTATGTTTTAAAATATAGTACCTACATATTTCTCTTTCTTACATTCATATTAGCCTTGGCAATTTCATGTCTGTACAAATCTTACAACTATTCTTTAACAAATATAAAAGAAAAATCCTTATGAAATTTGGACAAATATATTACCACTCACTATAACCCACTAAGAGTCTTAGTTTAACTTATTACATAGACCTTTATAGAACCAAATCTGTTACTGTACAATAGCACATCAGTGTCCTCTGACAGTACCCACTAATATATAAATTCAGCAAAGAAAACTTTTATTATATTGTAAAACATAATGTTAATTTTATAAGGTATAAGAATAGACAATAAATTAGGAGAAATTCAATATTTGCTTACACATCTTCATTACTTCGTAAATTATGAAAATTTAGTGTTTCTTCAGATAAGCCCTTCAATGAATTTTCACGATTTTCCCTGATGATCAGTTTAAAGGCACTAAGTGTTTTTTTTTAAGGCACTAAGTCTTTAAGTGTAAGCAAAAGTCTTCATACATAGTGAAAAAAGCCAAACACAAGGCTACGCAGCACAACTATAAATAGCGAAGATATTTTAAAGGAGGGAAACATAATTGCAAGTTTAGTATTAGAAATGTATGCTGGGTCTTTAAACGCCATCTGTGTATCCTACTTAGTCCATATTTTAACTATGAAAAAATGGCAAATCACTTACTTCCTGCAGAAAAGTAAGTGCCGAAACGTAAGAATTTAATGAATGGTCTGGCCATTTTCTGTCTGCAAATCGAATTTTTTCCCAATATGTTCAATACAGATTTAGCACTGCAATTAAGGGCACTATCAAAAGTTGATTCTGTGTACTCAAGGAGAAGAAATTAAATGGAGGAAGTCCATTCGATAGCAGATGCTGGACAAAACTGGCAGTAGGCTCTTGCATTCATGTTATGCTTTATGAAAGTGTCCATCTAAGTCCACCTGCTGGTGGAGGCCCAGATGTGGCAATTTGTTTTTCTAGTTTTTCCTTTTTCTTTCTTTTCTCTTCCACAGATTGAACATCTAAAATCCCCCGAGATGCAGCCTCCTTCTGTCTTCTCTCTGCAGCCTCTGCAAGTTTTGCTCTTTTCTCTTCCGGGCTCGGCGACCCCGGCACGGGCTCCGCGGGGCACGGGAAGCACAGCCCCAGCCCGACGGCGAGCTAGGCTGGACGACTCGCGCATAGGCGCCGCGCAGCCCCCAGTGGTAGCTTTTGGACAGAGACTACAGCTGCCATTTGGAGAATCACAATAATAGAGTTGCTACTTCTAGCAGTCAACCTCCCTTGTTCTCCTTCATCTCATAATTCCAGAAAATTATCACTACATAAAGAATGAGGCTAGATCTTGGATTTGATACCCATTTTCATACAAATGCTTAATCAAGTTAGTTAATTAAACCAATTAAATTTTAGTCATTTGTGGGAAAATGGATGCACATTGAGACCATAATGTTAAGTGAAATAAACCAGACATATAAACAGAAATATCACATAGTTTCTCTTATATGAGAAACTCAAAGTATAAATAATTTAAAGAACAAAATAAAAGATAATATAAAAAAGGAAGACAGAGACTTTGTAAAATGGGAAGGAGGATCTAGAGATGGAAGAAGAAGGGAGGAGAGAGCAAGGGGAAGTAAAAATTAAATGTTTTGAAAATGCACCATCTCCCCATGATGAATGTAATAATTTTATATAGCAAATATGTACTAGCAAACATAAAAATAAAGCAATTTAGATTGGAGGAAGTGATTTCTACGGGTACTTTTCTTCTTTATTACTTGGACAAAAGTCACTTAGCACTATGGATTCACATTCTCTTTCTACATTGAAGGACTACTCTGAATTCATATATGATTATTTTTAATTACTATATTTGCATTCCTATTTCTATAACTGTTTTATGCTTAAGTGACCCATTGATTTTTATTAATTGAGAATAATAACAACAAAAATTTAAATACATATGTAAATTTAAATCATTATACACAAATAATTTTAAAATAAAATATATTTTACCTTTTTAATTGAACATTGGCTAAAACAAACTGATACAGATGTAATTACCAAGAAGGTAATGCCATTTCTATTCAGATCTTAATGTATTTTTAATTTATGAAAT